TTAGGCCACTAACAAAAATCCTTGATATCATTATGCAAAAAGAGCCTAAGTTAATCTGTAAATACTAGCATGTATCCAGCCGCAACGCAAGACTTTGGCAAGCTAAATCATTCTTGTGTCCTCCTTTTGCGTAAAAGTCAGGTAAATCTGAACCCACTTTCCCAACTGGCCCTCTGAATTTTTCCTGTGCTATGAGATTCCCAACAGAGGTCAGTTCTGCCATGGTATTCTTAAGAGTGTCACAGGATGCAATGTTTCCGGACCAATTAGATGACTACAAATTCTTAAATGTTCAGAATCGACTAGATCAAACAGATACAAGCAGATTCTTTAATCCTGTAGTTAACAACAATAATACTAGTACAGCCATGGCCAAAGACTGGTGATGAAAAGCACTGGTAATGATACTAAAGGTAAAGAAAAAGAGGATACGGCCAACAATGGCTTTAGGAAGTTCAGAAAGAGCAACACCACAAGAGCAACAAAGGTTTCTCATGATATCTGAATCCACTTTGAGTCTACTGTCACCATGTAAACACTAACCTGTGTAAATTATTCGTAAAATATTACTGGAAGCAACATATATATCCCACAGGCAAGTCAACTACTAATAAAAATAAATAAAGTAATAACATTTACTGGGTAAATGTTATGAATACAACTGATTTCATTAAAAGTTCAGTTTAACATTTTTTCAACGACAATCATGCTAATTAGAGATATTTCCATTTAAATTAATGAAAGCCCCACAACACAGATGTGTGTAACAGTACTGGGTAAAGTGGCCATTGTAAATGGTATTATACGTTGAACTAAGAATATATTACATTTTAATTGAGATTTTAATACTTCTGAGACATGTTTTTATATATGTATATTTCCAATAACATGCCAAATCAGTGAAAGGGTATTACCATTAAGATAAAACCTTGATATAGGCACTAAAGAATGCTACTTTCGTCCATTCTTTAAAAAGGATAGAGGCAAATAGTTTCAGTTAAAATTTGTTTGTAAAAATTCTGAACCAATTAATTCCCTAAGAAAATAATTTAATGTTCAATTATTCTGCAAATGTTGTTTGTTTCCCTTTTATATGCTATTTCTCAGGGACCCTATCTAGATGAGATTGATCACTCCCTACCAGGATCAATTCACCAACTCTAAATCTGTTAGGCAAAGAAGAAAAAAAATAACATTTTGAGTTATTAAAGCACTGCTTTAGAATACAATCAGCAAGCTCCATCACCTATCCCTAACTTGCTTTAAATTTCAGTCACTTTCAAAGTGCCCTAAATATTTAAGTACTGTATATGTAATTTAAAACCCTTACTATATAATATCACAAATACTGGTTCTGTCTCATCAAAAACATTTGTACACTGAATTCCGAAAAGGTCATATTTAAAAAGGAAAAGAAAACATAAACCTGTATTCATTATGACAGTGTATCTGTTTATTTGGATCTGTCATAGCTTCTCACTCTATAAAAACAATTGGCTTGCTTAAATAATTTTCAGCAGTAGTAGCTTATTTGAGCAAATAAACACAGGGTAAATAATTTAAAGGCAATTTATTCTTAAAATACACTAAATCCCTAAAGTAAAACACTTGAGAGGCAAACTGCAGTGAAAAAGAATTTTTTATAGATTTTATTAGTAAAAGGCAAACTCTTATGAAATAAGTTTCTAAAGGTAAGTATTAAAAATACCAATCTCGAGAGGAAAACAGAAAAGTGATTTTGGCTGTCATTTTGCAGAGCTATTAAGAATACTCACAGATAAATCACAACTTTAATCAGGAGCCAAAGAGATCAATTCTTTTCAGAATGCTTTCAAAAATTTTCAATTTTCAAAATTCACGTGAAGTTTAGTTCTCTTATTACTGATGCTCTACTCCATCTCTATGTATTAATGCAGCCTAGAATCTGACACTACACCACAGTATTTTGTAAATTCAGTCTACGGTTTTACTTCCTGAAGTGTACACTAACACTAATAAATTAGGTTCTAGGCTTTGCATACCATTTACAAATAGAACCATGAAAGAAAGCACTATACAAACAATCTTAAGAATGGGAAAGAGCCCTGTAGATGCCATATAGTTCAAAGAAATTTTCAATATTTTCTAACTTCACAGATTTTCAATTTATATTTACCAAGATATGAGCTACTGACTGTATTTACATAAACTTATTAAAATAACAATTTAATTTATATATTGTGTAGTTTTATGATTTAAACTTTAAGTGGAAATGTTTAACTTGTCAAAAATCAATATTCTGACAAAAGGAAAGGAAAAGAACATTAGAAATAATTCTAGGGTATTCTTCTAGTAAACTTATTTTAAAGCCCTATGTCACAAACTCATTTTGTGTGATACACCGGATTTTTGTGCAATTGAAATCACCTTTTCTCCCAAATCCTTAAATAAATACAGAGAAATTTAAGTCTTAAAAAGGATTACAAATGGCTTATTAAAATAAAATTCCATCTAAGCAACTTTCTTGATGTGACCTACACAGTATATACTTTTAACAGTCAATAAATACTAAATTTTCTGAATTGCTTGCCTTTTTAGCAATTATTTTTGACAAAGCATTAGCCAATTACTTATTAACCAAATTTTTCTGCTCGAGAAACCTAGAATCACTCTTATACCTTCTAGAAGGCTATATATTTCTGCTCCTTCCCTTCCTGCATGAGGCATTAAATCTTCAAATTATAGTCTTATCTAGCAGCTTTCCTAATAATCACTATTCTTCACTATACTGTTATTTGCCACACTTTTATTTGGAGAATATATACTATTCAAGCATAAAGTTGTCTGATCTATCTTCTCAAACTATACTATGCTCCTAATACTAATTATTATTCTGTAATCACTCTATCCCAGTAAACCAATTGGTAGGTTTGATGTATCAAGTTCCATTTAATAGGGCTTGATATGCTTCAGGGTAAAGTTAAACATGCTGATCATTATGTTCTATACGCTACATCCTCCAAAGCCTTTCAAGTTTACCAACATCCTTCTCTCTAGAATAGTAAATATCCTATCATAGAACACAAAGAATACTTCTTGGCTTTAAAGAATACAGTTCCTTAGCACTTTTCAGAGAAGCTGTTAGTAGCTTCGAGACGCCCGCTGGCCTATCACTTTGGTTAAATTAATCATGGGTCATCTTGTGCCATAAATTAATCATGGGTCATCTTGTGCCACTAACTTTTTAGTCTTACAATTATTGTAGGAAATCTACATATCTACTTTAAAAATAAAGGAAATACTTTTTTTTTTTTTTTAAAAAAAAAAAAGCACTATTTTAGCTCCATTACTTTTCCCAAAGAAATCAATTCAGGGTCCTTATGTCATTACTTTTACTTAAACCACAACCGATCAGTCGTACATAACAACGGAAGGCTTTTAAAAAGATATAATTTTGCACTTAACCTTACGAAACACGTTTCCAAGTTTTCAATTGCGAGAACGTTCCATATTAAAAAGGTGCTGGTGCAGTCATCAGAACTGTGCTGCTAGCTACAAGCTCCGAGTATCCTGCACTTTGCAAATTTTAGGTATAATTTCTGTTACCTGCTGAGGTTTCTGCACCCTTTGTCACCCAGTGATGGCTCACCACCAAACACTTTCCATCATTTATAACGGCCTCCTTCCACCCCTCAAAAAATGCACAGTAAACTTGGGCGTTTCTGCACACTAACACGGAACCACTAATATCACTAGGTATTATGGCTCTCAAAGAATCCTCTCTAGCAGCCTCCCCTGGGACGCTGTGCTCAGCGGGGCTTTGAACCGGTGAGACTCGCTGCCAGCTGCCTTTGCAAAAGCAGCACCAGAGGCAGACTCAACACCGCAATGCTGCTGCTGCTGACTTTTTCCAGCAGCTTTAAAAAAAAAAAAAATCATCCCAGTCCCCTGCAGACCCTGCTGGCTCTTCTGCAGCACGAAAGAGAAACCACCGCATTGCTCAGCTTGTAAGATCAGAGAGCCCGACTTAAGGGAGGGGAATCAGTGCGGTCGAGAGGCTCCGCGAGGGCGGGGTGTTGGGGTGAAAAGGGAAGACATCCGGAGTGCAGGGGACCGCGACAAAGCAGCAGCCAGGGCTCCGCATCGCGCCCTAGACGGGGCCGCGGAATAGCGGACGTCCGGTGGAGACGCTGGCCTCAGCCGGGAATGGGGGTCCTGTCGCGGCCGGCCAAGCCCCTCCCGCCACCCCCCGGCCCCTCACCTGTCATAAGCGCTGGGCTATCGCCCGCTGCCGCAGCGGGAGAGGAGGCGGCTGCTGCGGCAGAGCCAGTAGCTCGCCGCCCGCGGAGGTGCCGGGGCACCAGCTCGCATCCGTCCGCGGTACCGGCCACCAGCAGCCAGAGCACCAGCAACGCAGCCCAGCGCCGCCGCCGCAGCCAGCCCCAGGTTGGGCCGGGAGTCGAAGCAGGATGAGGGCGCGGAGGAGGAGCCGGGTGAAAGCGCAGCGGCGCTCCCGCCGCCGGCCCGTCGCCCGCTCCGCGAGGCGCCGCCACCGCCGCCGGCGACTCTGCGGGCCACCCCCGCCGCTTCAGACACCGGATACCGCTGGGCGCCAGCCTGGTCCCGTCGGCACCGGCGGCCTCCGGAGCTCTGATCCTGGCTGCGTTCATTGGTTCCGGTTATTTTTTTTTAAAAAGTGGGGGGTAGAAAGGTACGGCGTCTTCAGGCGGTGCACGACACCCGCGCTGCTACCGCGGCGAGACCGGGATCCGCTGCTCTGGCGCCGCCAAACACCAGCCCCAGCGCCCGAGCCGCCGCCGCCGCGGCACATCCCCCCGCCCACTCCGGCCCGCGCTGGTCGTAGTACCACGCTCCGCCGGGACGCCTCCCTCCCCTCGCACAGTCGCTCGCATACCAATCCCCCGCCTCCCTCAGGCCCTCCACGGCGCAGGCGCGACGCTGCTGCACTACGCGTGCGCAGCACCCCAGCCCCGCCCCGAAGGCGTTCCCGGACGGACAGGAGTAGCGCTGGGTGGTTGCTAACGCGCCAGCGAGCCGCGAAGATAGGGGGCGGGGAAGAAGGAGGACGTGTCCCCCTCCCTCATTCACGTCACCACCGCGAGGGGGTGTAGGGGGATACTAAAGGCTGCGAGAAGAGTCCAGACGTCCCACATCCTGAGGGCAAGTTACAGCCCCGCGGAGGGCAGAAAAAGTAATTGCATGGGTCAGGAAAATCTTGCAATCGGAAAACAGCGGCGTCCCCGTAATTTCAATATAGGTGGGGATTTGAAGCGGCTATGTAGACGCAGTTAGCCTAGCCTAGCGCTTTATTTACTTGCCAAACATTTCACAAAGCGCGTGCTATGTGTGAGTGTGTACCAGGCATCGCTGTAACCGCCTTATACATTTACAGGCTGTAACTCCAAATTATCCTTTATCATCCCCATTTACGAATGAGGAGACGAAGGCCCAGAAATGTGAAGCAACTTGTCCCCAGTGTCCCACAGCTAATTCATGGGAGATGAGCCAGATTTAGCAGTCACTGAAAGGGTCGATTGAGACAATCTGCTCTAGCTTCTGACTCTCCTAGGTTCAGACATTTACCTGAACTTATCACCTTCCCACCCCCATCCTATCCCATCAAGTCTTTGCTCTATCCTGAACCGGCTGACAGAACATTGGTGTAGACTTGTTTTTGCCAACCTGGAATAAAGCAAAGTTCTTGTGCACCCAAGATCTGCTCTCCGTTGTAAGTCCTGCTCAGACCTGGTCTTATTGGTTTGGATAAAGAAAGAACCGGAATCTTTCTCATCCAAACTAGTTGCCAGCATATTTTTTAAGGCTACCTCCCTTCAAATATAAAAGGAGACGTTGAATGTAATCTCAAATAAATTAAAAGCCCTGGAAGTTTACACACAAGGAGGCATTCTCTCTCCTAGGGGCACAAAATTGTTTAAAATTTGCAGATAGGGTTCTTAAACACGAAGGTCCTTTTGTTATTGGGTTTTGTTGTTGGTTTGATTCTGTTTATTAGTTTGTTTGCTTGCTTTCCCAAGTCAAGAAGATACTCAAATTACATTATCCTAAAGTATTTTAGGCAGCCTGGCCAAGATAACCACAAATAAAGTTTATTGTGGAAGGGCAGATGCACACTTTAGAAAAGAATCAAGGATGCCTTTGAGGCTAAGTCAATCTATTAACAATTATTTCTCAGCAGACGTCTTGTGGGCATGGTGTCCAGGTGGTAATTCTTTATAAGGCAACAGGGAGATTATACTTCCCCTGCTAAAAGGCACAGCGATGAAGTCACACCAGAGTGCTGAGGGCCCATCAAAGAAGATAATTTTGCCAGGGGACCAGAACAGTATAAATAACAGGCTTGTTCCTGCTCTCCAGGAGGCAACAATTCCTTTATTAAATGTTTACTGAGTGCCTAGTATGTGCCAGGCAGGGTACTGAGTGGTGAGGGTTCAGCAAAGTACGAGAGACACTTGAAAAAGGCAATTAAATCAGCAGTCAGGGCTATGAGATAAACAGCACAGTCCTTGACAGAGACATCTTACAATCTTTTTAAGGAGATAAAATTTACACCCATTAAACAATTAGAGTCTAATTCAAGATAGTAATCAGTTCCTAAATGTTGTAGTGCAAACTGTGTTAGAGCAGTAACAGTATAAAACCACGAACAAATTAACAAATCACAGGGGCCAGGCTTCTTTAAACAGAGATGATTTAGTATTTTTTTTCTTCTTTTAAAGATAGGGAGGGTATTGACACTGAGAGGGTATTGGATTTGGAGTTTTAAGTGTTTATTCCTCTCACTACTGGAACCAGAAAGGAACTAGGGAACCGGCAAGAACTAAAGAGACCATGGTCAGGCAGGCCAGAGGCCAGGAATAAACCCTCCACTGCAGAGCATCTTTGCCACAGGTACAGAAGTTTCCAGCTGTTACATGAATAGCTGGAATGCACCTTGCTGAACAGAGGTACGTGTCACTGTGCATCATAGCATAAACCTAAGAACAGAAAGGAGAAAATCCATTCCTTTCTAATAAAAGCCCAACCCTAGAATTATACATGCTTCTATTTGCAAGCCAAACGTAAACACAAGACTCCAAATGAGGCAACCGTTTACCTTTCTCCCCAGGTTTCCTGTCCCACCTCCACGCTTTTGTTTTCCCTTTCCTTTCCCTTGTTCTCACTACCCCAAAACTTTCTCGTCTTCCCTCTAGCCAAATCCCATTCAAAATCTACCGAGGCCCGTTTCCTTGGCACCTACCCGACTCCTACAGCCAGCCTATACCTCTTGAAGTCCAAACCTCATCATGTGCCTTTTTTTTTTTACAAAACGCCTTCACCGTCCCATTTTCACCAAATCATGACTTCAAACACCTGATGGGCAGCATTGAGCTAGCTCTATAATCAGGCAAACCTGAAAAAAACAGCAACTCCACCACTTTTCAGCTGTGTTACGTGTAAACAGGTTAATTTGTCCTGTTTCCCCACTTTTAAATTGGGGATCCAAAAATGCCCGCCCCACAGGGTTGTTAGCGGCAGCGGGAGAATAAAAGAACAGGAAAAGCCCTTGCTGAAGCCCGGCACACAGGTACGTTGCCATTCCTCGGGGAGAACTGGCTCTGGGCGTGCGTTCTAAGCGTGTTCTTGGCTTAGGGGAAACGCACTTTGTCTGCCCATGTTGTTTGAGTTCATCTTCTTACATATACAACCCAAACTACTGGGGCGCGCCCGGCACAGACGCACAGCAGGATCCGTGCACCGGCTCCTCCCCATCCCAGAGACAAGCCTGCCCTTCCCAAGAGTCGGGCTCCCTCCCTATCTCCTTTTCCCCATGCTCCCGCGCAGCCCGCACAGCCCACGAGGCGCCGCCAGCTCAGACTCGGAGAACCGGTTCCTGACCGGCGGGCGCGTCAGGGCGCCTGCGCCACCGCAGCCCCGCGCATGCCCGCCGCCTCCTGCCGGCTTCCCCCAGGTGCGCAAGTTATCCGGCTCCTGGGTTTCCGGGACGCGGCGCGCCGGGCCCCACCGGGCTTCCGGCTCCTACTCTATGGGCGGGGTGCCCGGCCGCCGCGAGATGACGTCACCGCGTGGGCGGGCGCGGCGGGCTGTCCGTAGGGATTGTGGTGCGCGTGGGGTGGGAGTCGTGGTGGAGGTAAAGAAGTGGGAAATTCCGGCGCCTCGCCCACCCACAGAGCGTCTTCTTCCCGCCTTTGACTTATCCGCGTGGCCCTGGAATGTCGGGGCTGACCCAGCAGGGTGGTACAGCCTAGTTCGCTTGCTCTTCTTGGTGAAGCTCCTTGGAGAGCAGACTTTGGTGGAAACCCTGTTATGTACCGAGTTTTCCCACTGACTCCACACATGCTAACAAGGGACTTGAGGTGCTGAGAACTTTAGAAACACCTCTAAAGTGATATAGACTATGTGGGGGCTCCAGGATTCGATCAATGAAGCCCTAGCATAAAAATGGGGCCTCAAATTGTTTAATAAATTAAAGCACCAAGAATAGAAGTGGCACAGTGGAAGTAACTCATTAGCAAGACCCTTGCTCCCTATACCCAATAAAGCATGGGATAGTCCTCAAGTGGTGTAGTGAAGGTGGAAAAATTTACTGCTTTCTCTGGGAGCAGAGGAAGGAAGTCTTTTTAAGTGTCCTTCATCCAGGGTAGGAAGTCAAAAACTTTAGATTTAACTTACTAAAATAGTTTTTTAAAAACCACTCAACAGAAGCAAGTCAGCTTTGTCGGATAAAGCCCAGTATAGTCAGTGGGCATGTGGGGTGAGTCATTTATATTATTAAATAGGATATGTTTGCTCTATACTGCTTAATTTGAGGTATTACATGAATATTATTGATCACATGCTAACAGGGGCTGAAGCAATAGGAATGTTGACACTTTCCATAAAAAGAGGACTAGAATTGTGATTGAGCTAAAGACAATCACAATTGAAAATGGTGAGAAAATGATGACATTACCAATAGACGAATGATAAGTGTTGATGAGGATGTAGAGAAAAGGAAACCCTGGTGGACTGTTAGTGGAAATGTAAATTAGTATACCTATTTTGGAAAGTAGTGTGGAGGTTCCTAAAAAACTACAAATAGAATTATCATATGATCCAGCAATCTCACTTCTGAGTATATTTCCAAAGGAATTGAGATCAGTATGTTAATGACATCTTCACTCCCATGTTCATTTCAGCATTATTTACAATAGGCAAGATATGGAAGCAACCTAAATGTCCTTCAACAGATGAATGGATAAAGAAAATAGGGTATATACACACAGTGGAATACTATAGAGCCTTAACAAAGAAGAAAATTCTGTCATTCACTGCAACATGGGTGGAACTGGAGGGCATTATGCTAAGTGAAATACTCCAGGCACAGAACAGCAGATACTGTATGACCCCACAGATGTGAAATCTAAAAAAAAAAAAAAAAAAAAAAAAAGTTCATCTCATAGAAAAAGAGTATAAAGGTGATTACCAGATGCTGGTAAGTGGGAATTAGGGGAGGGATGTGGAAAGGAAAAAAATTGACCAAAGGGTGCAAGGTTACTGTTAGACTGGAGGAATATGTTTTAGTGATCTATTATACTGCATAATAACCACAGTTAACAATAGTGTCTAATTCAAAATTGCTAAAAGGGTAGATGTTTAACATTCTCACTACAAAAAAAAGGTTAAGCCAGTGAAACAATAGATACATTAGCTCAGTTGAATCTTTCTACAATGTACAAATAGCTCAAAATATTTTACCTCATAAATATACACAATTAATATTTGTCAATTAAAAATTAATTAATTTTTAAAATATTCATAATGTCTGTGAGTTATGAGGCAGGAAGCTGCTAAGGGGTTCCCTACAGTACTTGAAGAGATTGTCTAAAAAGGAATTACCTACTTTCAATCTTAAAGTATACAAAACACCTACTTTAGAAAAAGATGCCACACAACATATATCAATCACCAAGATGTGGGCTGGTTTAAAAACTTCAAAGGGCGGCCGGGCGCAGTGGCTCACGCCTGTAATCCCAGCACTTTGGGAGGCCGTGGCGGGCGGATCACGAGGTCAAGAGATCGAGACCATCCTGGCCAACATGGTGAAACCCTGTCTCTAGCAAAAATACAAAAAAAATTAGCTGGGCATGGTGGCGCACGCCTGTAGTCCCAGCTACTCTGGAGGCTGAGGCAGGAGAATTGCTTGAACCTGGGAGGCAGAGGTTGCAGTGAGCCGAGGTCACGCCACTGCACTCTAGCCTGGTGCCTGGTGACAGAGTTAGACTTTGGGCTACTCTGGAGGCTGAGGCAGGAGAATTGCTTGAACCTGGGAGGCGGAGGTTGCAGTGAGCTGAGGTCGCGCCACTGCACTCCAGCCTGGTGCCTGGTGACAGAGTTAGACTTTGTCTCAAAAAAANAAAAAAAAAAAAAAAAACTTCAAAGGGTTGCCCACTTCCCTCTTCTTTTGTGGAAAATCCATCCAAGGACTGGAAATTTAAACTCCTTAAGTTTGAATGTATAATAAAATGACCATAATTACAGCCATTTGAAACCTAAACCCTTTATAAGGTGAGAAACCCCTGTATTTTTGTTCCAGTAAAACCAGGTCCTTATGCTAATACCTAGATAGAGGGTTGTTATAAAGTTAAAAAAATTGTAAAGATGCCTGGTGCATAGTTAGCTATTATTATTTAAACCCTTAAGGGTATGACAAACAAGAGCTCCTTTTGAGTTGAATTGTGCAAAAGAGGAAAGTAGAAAAAAAAGAACACAAGAACAATCTGCAAGACCACATACAACAAAGGTACACACACAGAAATCTTCACAGGCCACATGCCTAAAGGGACAGATAAAGTTCTCTAGAAAAGAGGACCTCATGCAAAGGCCCATATAACAATTCCTTAGAGAGTAGGAATTCTGCTGGGTGCGGTGGCCCCCGCCTGTAATCCCAGCACTTTGGGAGGCTGAGGCAGGTGGATCACCTGAGGTCGGGATTTCAAGACCAGCTGACCAACATGGAGAAGACCGGTCTCTACTGAAAAAATACAAAATTAGCTGGGCGTAGTGGTGCATGCCTATAATCCCAGCCACCTGCCTCAGGAGGCTGAGGCAAGAGAATCACTTGAACCCGGGAGGTGGAGGTTGCGGTAAGCCCAGATCGCACCATTGCACTCCAGCCTGGGCAACAACAGCGAAACTCCATCTCAAAAAAAAAAAAAAAAAAGAGAGAGAGAGAGAGTAGAAATTCCTTCAACAATTCCTTCAACCCCAGTGAAGCAAAAATGAAAGGCAAGGGAGATGTCAGCCACGCGTAGAAGGAGGCAGAAAAATATCAAGGAGATGCACCACTGAGCTGGCCGCTCAGTCTCATACGATGTCTCCATAGAGGACTTTGGAGACCACTCTGTTTTGGAACAGTGCAAGAATAAGGAAGAAAAATGGAGCTTTTGGCTCCCATCAGTCAAAGGTTTCTGCAGGAGACGCGAACTCCCTCGCACTTTTCAGTCATGCCACCTGCCGCTCCCGGCAGCTGCCGGAGAAGCCAGATCCCTGAACAGCAGTGGCATTATCCATGCATGAGCTGAGCCAGCAAGTGAATGGGTGCCAGGAGCACTCCCCACAGTCCACCTGCATTCTGCAGCTTCCAGGAGCATCTACCGCCTTTGTAACAAAAGGGAAGCCCGCGGGGGTGGGGGGAAGGCTGGAGACTCAAGGCATTAACCAGTTGTGCCCAAAAGCAGCATGAGAGACCTGGAGCAGGGCGAACATCACATCTTGGCCCCTATCACCAAGGCAGCCACAGAGCTCAACCAGCCACGCTCCAAGGAAGATGGAAATATCCCTTCTGCATCCTGTAAGGATGCTGTTACGGTATAAAGTTCCTGGATAGTAGTGGTAGCATTCAACAGAAAAATATTACCAAATAAATCCAGAGAGGTACGTAAGCTGGGTTCAATTGAATGATAAGGGCAAAGACATAGGAGAACCAAGGCGTTGT